CTTAAAAGCTAATCCATTAGCAGCTATATGAAGTGGTAAAAAGGGTATTAAAGCATTCAAATTGTTGGTAATGAAATATCTGACATGGCTAAGCATATTGCAATTCACTTTTATCATTGTGTTTATTTGATAGACTCTTCCATAATTTGGACTGGAAAACATACAAAATTAAATTAATCCTCAGCCCCTTTGTTGACTGTAGCTTTTCAAATTTTTAAGAAATTGAAATAAATAGCTACATATTAGAATGGTTAACATCATCATCATCATCATCATCATCATCATCATCATCATCATCATCATCATCATCATCATCATCATCATCATCATCATCATCGTCATCATCATCGTCATCATCATCATCTTCATCATCATTTGTTTGTTATGTTTTTTCGTAATATGCAAACATGCAGTTTTGCATGCATTTTGTGCCTCTACATGTATGCCGGCCGTGTGAGTGTACCTCATTGCACGACTAAGTTTCTCATAAGTCATGCTGCTGTTATTCTTCTTCTTTCCCCACAGCTGTGCCACTGCCTCCGACTTCAGGAAACGGAAAACTCCCTCTGTCCGATCCTCCCACTTAATCAGCCCTGGGTTCCGCTCCGGGTTCAGCAGAATGTCCCTGATGAACTCCCACAAGTGGGTTCCTCTTGGGTCTTTATGATATTAAAAACAGGGATCACTGACTATTCAAAAGATAAGTAAGAGTGTCTGGAAGAGTATTTCTACTCACTGTGTTTTTTGGCCTGATGACCTCGTTGGAAAGATCGTTTGATATCTGAGAGGAAGATGTTACAGTTAGTGAAAACTTTAAAATTTTCATGTTGCAGTTCCATAAGAGGTCCAAACAGGCTGTGTTGTGAGCATAATCAATTCCTTACCAGGACTAGAAGGAGTGGGAGAGGCATCAGATGCAGGAGGGTGAAATGAGGGATCGTAGATGTCTAAGTTAACAAAAATGACAATATTAAAGAATGAGGAAAAGTCTTCATAATAAACTTTATCAGAGTAGTAATGGTGCTTATAATTCTACGTATAAACATGTATTTTATATTACCTCCAGGTGGATAGCTGACATCTGGAAATGGAGAGGAAAAGTCTACAGTAAAAGAAGTTTGTGTGAGCTGAAGCTGCTTTAGCAGGAGTAAAATAAGCAGCATTGAGGTTGCATAAAACAGCCTTACCGTCAGGTTTGAGCTCCAGCTGTCCTATATCCACGTTGCACTGCCCTGTTCAGAGATTAGAAGGAAAATGGCACAGGTCAAATTTACTGCTTAGTCTTTGAAGTTTAACTTTTCATAGTAACCATATTCATGATTTGGATGTAAGTAATGAACTGTATCGCTGATTCACTTATTCAGAGTTGTGTTTTGGGCCCTAAATACTGTAAAATGCCTGAAAGTCTCAGCTTTTGAGTATGTATGAATGGAAACCTGTTGTGTAAATTCATGGCATGATTAATTACATCTCTATAAGCCAATAGATGTTTTGAACGGCCTTGCTTTTTTAATAATCGAGAGGTTAAACCTGTTATGCCAGGTCTCATGAATGGTATTTTGTTTTTCATTTTAAACACATCTAAACATCTGTGTGCATATATTATTTCTCTTGTAAAATAAATTAATATGAACTTTTTTAGATAGCCATATTATGGAAATACCACCAGTATTTGGCCAAAGGATATAGCATGAAACTTAAAACCTTTCTCTGTGAATTAACTGAGCAATAAAAAAAATGTGCCACCTCTCAGCTTGTTTCTCAGCTTCACAGCCCCTTTGTCCTTTCTTAGGAGAGCCACTTCAGCAAGTGCAAGCAAAATATTCATCATGTCCCTTGCTCGAAGCACTCTTCTCTCTGTTATACAGCTGCCATGCACAGCGACCCCTGACTGGCTTGGTAAGCCCTCTCAGCTACACTTCATCAAAACTCTGTTTCACACACACATTACTCAGATCACTCTGCTCTTTTTCTACCTGGACTAATCATCTTTGTGTTTGCCCCTTACACCCTTGGTTAGGATTTGACACGCACCACTCCATTTGAGTTCGGTGATGTTTTGGAAGAGAATGGGTCCCACGCTGCCAGCAGCACGGACAAAGTCCTGATAGCCTAGACTGCAAAGCTGATGGCCATCCATGTCGAAGTTTTGGAAGGGAATACTGGAGGCATCGATCTGGTGTATGTCCATAACCTGCTGCAGCCACTCCCACACCTGGTACTTGGTCCAGAACTGAGGCTGGGAGTCATGAGACCACAGACGACTTGTGTAACCAGACATTATCAGTGGACCTGGAGACAAACATTAACATTTAGAATCTATGACACCCATTGCGAAAAAATCCATTGTTTCCAATTATGTTCCATCAATATTGAGATACATCTAATGAGGAAAATTTCTACGACAATGTTTGCCAATCATAATTCTTGAAAGCGGTTAAAGAGCTGTTAAAGTATTTCTCAGCTGAAGATCCTAATTCACACCTTGTGTTTCAGAGCTCTGGGCTCACTGGGTGAGCAATACATCATCCCTGAAAAATGTTCACTTTGTATTCTCGCTTCATACCACATAATTGCTCAATAGAGTGGAATCACGACCCTACAATAGAAGCTTAACATATTTTCTTCAGGGTTTTGGGTGATATTTTTCAGAAACTTTAATCAAGTGATCAATGTCAGCGATGAGCGCATGTATAATGAAGGAAAGTAATACAGTGGGCTTTGTTAAGACAGAAGCCATGATCCTCACCATCAAAATAGGAATTTGTAGGACCCCAGGTATTGATCAGCTGGCTGTCCAGGGGGCTGGATGAAGTTACACTCATTTTGCAGCTTCTACACAGTGATGTACCATGGCCCAGGGGCTGAGGGAGGAGATCAGTCGATTGCATTTGATTAAATCAAACGGCAGAAATGAGTTACAAACAATAAAACTAATGATAAGTGTTTCTGTCTCGGGAAAGTTTATGAGGGATCAGAGCTTTGCGCTGGAAAACTTACGGACAAAC